GCTGCCACTGCGCAGCGCCCTGGCCCCAGCACTCGCCGCACGGTCCTGGCACCAGCTCTCCCACCTGTAGCCGCTGCACACCCGCCTTGCCCTGAAATAGCAGTGCCAGGAGGCAGTGACTATGGGCCAAGCGCAGCCTTTCGCAGCATCGCTCACGCTCCCCCAGCGCCTGGCGCTGGTCCCACCACCTGCGCCCCTCACCCTGGTTTCTGGGGAGCACAAGCAAAGCTTCCTGGGCTACGAAAGCTAATGGGAGCCTTACCAGCTGCACACCATGCACCCAGCACTCTTCAGCAGCTCAGAGAGGGCTGGAACCTGCAAATAAAAAAAGAAAGGAAAAAAAAAAAGAAAAAAGCAGCTTTCTAGTCCCCTGGCCCCAGCCAAACCGCTCCAGCACTGATGAAAAGCCTGGCATAAGCCATCTGTGACTCAACTTGGCAAAACAAACCCTACAAACCTTAGCTAGGTCTAATGAAACCTAGTCCATAATTTCTCTAAAAGAAGTTTTGCATTGTAGTTTAGTTACCCTCCTCTTGCCTGTTCACCATTTGTCAAAGTTCCTGCTTTTTGACTCAGGAGAACTTTGGCAACTGGAAAAAAAAAAAAAAAAAAAAAAAAACTGCCTCAGTTAAGCTATGACAAGAATCTTCCTATTTTCTTCTAGCAAAAAATTAATCTTAGTAAGTCATTTCTATCAGAAGCTCATGGTATCATTTCCCAGGGGCACTAAATGTGTTTAAGAGCCATCACTGCTTGTACACTCCCATCTAGTTTTCTTGGAGCACAACTGACAATTTCCTGCAACACCACTTTCTCTGGGGCAGAAGACGGGCATGCATTCCTTGCAGCAGTCCTGCAGGCATCTGCCACTCTATACTTCCACACTTAGGTTTTGAATGAGTTTGATATTTCACCAGACAGCAATCCCATTAACTATCTTAACTGGACCTGCGTGACCCTGTTCTCCCTGGGCTACTTTGGTCCACTTACTTCTTTTGCTTTTCACACAGCTTTTTACTGCGCTGACATAACCAGCTTGAATTTTAAGGAACCGCTACACTCTGGCAGATTGCACAAGACTGCCTTTAACAGAGAGGCACCCTCCCCCCC